AGATAGATAGATAGATAGATAGATAGATAGATAGATAGATAGATAGAATAGATATAGATGACAGACAATCTAAACTGAGCGAAATATTCAAATATTTCCAGATTCGCAATAATCCATTTTGGATACATGTTTCTAGTATACTAAATTGTAATTTGCAAGTTGAGTATTAGGACAGAATCATGGACTATTCCCTTCATTATCAGCATGTTAATCCTGATTGTTTTAAATCATGTTTTCTTGTTTCTCCTATGGCTTGTCACTGTTAATATCACTTTTGATGGTGGTTATGTTTCGGTAAACTGGGATTTAACAATCCAGGAATTTACAGGTCACTGAACAGTTCCTTGTAGTAGGTTGATAACTGGAGCATATGTCAAATAAATAAATCAATAAAGTAATTGACTATCAATGACCAGCAATAAACAGATTATACTTTCATAAGGAACATACTGGATGTTATTGGCATTTTCACATGATATTTAAACCCATTTTGTTTTAACTAGGTTTCTAATGTCAATGATACTTTGGCCAAAATTTTTGTCTCACTTATTTTGAAAATAGTCTCTGCTCTATTTTAATGAGAAAAACGTTTCATTTTGTAATCTAAAGTCTGAGTGGCGTTATTTATGTATTTATTTAAATGTATTGGCCAGCCAACTTCAGTGGACTCTGGGAGGCATAAAAAACGAGAGAAAACAGAAAAACAATTAAAAACTTTGCCTCAATAGACGGATATTTAGGTCTGTCGTGCACAACTGCCACTTAATACTAGAATTGATCAAATTCATCAACTGGCAAATGATACATAGATTTGGAATGCCAAGATCAGACGTAATTGCAGAGAGTTGAAGAGAAGCAATGTGATTTTTGCATGATGTTTTGTTCATATTGGGGTGTCCATAGCACCAAAACGGTGGGTGTGACTGGAAAATCCAAGCCCCACCCCCTTTTTGCATATGTACAACACACATTATAAAGGGGCACAGTTTTGACCCACAACTGCTGATGCCACAGACCTCTACAAATGCCCCTGGGACACTGATACCTAAATCACCCTTTCTGTTTCAACCCAGCCTCTACGTCAGCATTTCGCAACCTGGGCGACTTTAAGAGATGTGGACTTCAATTCCCAGAATTCTGGGAGTTGAAGTCCACCCATCTTAAAGATGGACTAACCTGCTCCAAATCCCTAGCCAACTTGTATGCTAAAAATACAATAGCCTCTGGCTTACCTTGCAGTTCAAAAAGAGAGCTTGCATCGGTTGCCGTTTCCGAAGGGGCTTGTGTAATAGGCCTTAGGTAAGACCTGTAACCTTTCAGGATGGAAGCCATAAAAGTGAGAAATGCCTCTTGGATTTCTACATCTAAGAGATGCAGCTTCGAGCCTGATTGAAAATCGTAGTCATTCATAGCCAGCTCCATTAAAGCATCGTCTCGGGGTCTTTGCTGCACTGTGGATTAAAAAAACAAACACAAAGTAAAAATGCCAAAACATGGTTATATTTATAGAATGATGGAGGGGGAAGGGACTTTGGAGGTCTTCTAGTCCACCCACCCACCCCGCTCCAGCAGGAGACCCTATACCATTCTGGACAAATGGCTATTAACATATTAAAACTTATATGCCACCTATTTTACTATTATACAGCAATTCTGGACAGCTTACAGACCATGTCCCAAAGGTGCTTTTTTCAGCATTCCAACTAACCAACTCCAAACCAATAAACTCCGAGACTGGCTGACACTCTTCTTAAAAGCCTCCAATTATGAAACATCCACAATTTATTTACATATTAAAACTTATATGCCACCTATTTTACTATTATACAGCAATTCTGGACAGCTTACAGACCATGTCCCAAAGGTGCTTTTTTCAGGAGGCAACTGGACTTTCTTGTTTTTTCTTTTCACTTCTGATCCAAGAAGCTTCTTCTGTTCTGACTGGATGGTGGGGAATGGAAGGATTTATACTCCTTGCAGACAGCTGGTCATTTGCATCCTTTTTAGAGAGACGTTGAGGCCCCTTGGAGGTTTATCTGTGTCCTCAGGGTCTCACCTGAGTAGTGCAAATGGTTCCTGTAGTCTGCAATGAGATGAAGAAGCTTCCTGGATGAGAAGCGAAACGTCTTCAAAAGAAAAATCAAATAAAGTCCAGTTGCCTCTTGAAAAGGCACTTTGGGACAACCATGACCTGGATGACTGAGAATCTCTACAGACAATAGAAATAGAAAAGATAATATAAAACCATTAAAAATGAAAGAAGATTAAATATTAAACTATTAAAGATTATTAGTATTGACTGCAGTATTTCTTTCTCTGCTGCCAGGCAATCAGTCAGCGTTCCAATGAAACTCCCCATTCCATTCAGCACTCAAGAAATAAAGTTCATTCAAGTAAGAATATGGCTTCCAGAGCTGACACTGATCTCACATGATCTGATCTCACATGATACATTTTGCCAGCAGTGAGAAGTCCATCACTGGCCTTCTCAAACCTGCAGGACAGCTGATTTGCACCCAGGAAGACCCAGGCCCACCCCTTCTTCATCCTAGGGCACGCAGGGAGGAAGAAATAAGGGAGCAACGTGAGTTGCGTGGTTTACGAGGGAGAAAAGGGCCCTGATCCCCTTCATGGGCCGCAGCTGGGAAGACTGTTTAAAAGGGCAAACTGTGCATGGCAAAGTTGCTGGAAGCAAAGCGTGAAATTATTCTGGTTTGTCAAGTCTTATCTGAGTTCTGGCTGTCCTCCCATTTCATTATCTTTTGATGTCTTCAATCCCTTATCCTGTCCTGTCTCGTTAATTGCTGCACTGTGGTTTGTGTTGGGTTTTATTTATAATTTATGTGTACTTTGAGTTTGGATGGAATTCCTTCCCTTTAAAAACTGTTCTTGGGAGAGTGTTTTTTTCTCCAGCCGATGATAATTGGACATTGGAGGCCAAGTTGGAGGAATTAAAGGGACTTTACTTGTTGCTTTTGTGCCACGCCCCGGGCCATCACAACTTCTCAGCATTTCGTTCCACCCTTCTCTTCCCCTCCCTGCCCCAGTTTATTGGCAAGTTGAATAGCGACAGGGTTTGAAAGAAGCAAATCGATTCTATCGTGACACACAACATTCAAGGTCCGTGTGAGGACTTTCTAAATCTGAGCTTCTCAACCTGGTCCACTTTAAGATGAGTGGACTTCAACTCCTAGAATTTGGGGAGTTGAAGTCCAACCCTCTTAAGAGTTGACAAGGTCGAGAAACATTGCTCTGAGGATTTAAATAAAAGAAGTGGGATTTTTTTCTTTTAAACCTCACCCAGGGTTTCAAAGAGAATGACGCATCATGCAAATGATCTGCTGGGGCCTTCGGTGCTACTTCCCCAACGCACAAGTTCCTTTCTGTATAACCTGAATCTAATTTCCCTCCGCTTCTCCTCAGCATGAAAAAGGGTTTCGCTATCATTATGAACCACAACCACAACACACACACAGGCTCTTCTGGGCCCTCCTTCACTTACATGCTGCCAGCTGCTGATACAAGTGATTCAGACTGCTCATCAGCTTCTTACAAGGCTTCTTTGGCAAGCTCTTCCATGCAAGCGTTCGCTTATCCCCTGGTCTGGAATCCAAAGAGAAATGTTAGGGATTAAGAGCCACAAGGGTGGGGTGGTCAGAAGGGCAGAATTGCAGGCTAACTCTGCTCACTGCCAGCAGTTCAATCCTGACGAGCCTCCAGGTTAACTCAGCCTTCCATCCTTCCGAGGTGGGTAAAATGAGGAGCCAGATTGTTGCGGGCAAGAGGCTGACTCTGTAAACCGCTTAGAGAGGGCTGGAAAGCACTGTAAAGCTGCATATGAGTCTAAGGGCTATTGCTATTGCTAACTCTGCCCATTGCCAGGAGTTTGATCCTGACTGGCTCGAAGTTGACTCAGAGCTTCCATCCTTCCAAGATGGGTAAAATGAGGAGCCAGATTGTTGAGGGCAATAGGCTGACTCTATAAACCACTTAAAGAGGGCTGTAAAATCACTGTGAAACGGTATATAAGTCTAAGTGCTAGTGCTATTGTTATCTGTCTGTCTGTCTGTCTGTCTGTCTATCTATCTATCTATCTATCTATCTATCTATCTATCTATCTATCTATCTATCTATCTATCTATCTAATTTATCTATTATCTATCTATCAACTATCTATGGTGTCTGTCTGTCTGTCCATCCGTCCATCCATCCATCCATCTTTCTATCCATCTCTCCCCTCTCTCTCTCCTCTCTCTCTATATCTTTCTTTCTTTCCTTCCTTCCTTCCTTCCTTCCTTCCTTCCTTCCTTCCTTCCTTCCTTCCTTCCTTCCTTCCTCTCTCTCTCTCTCTCTCTCTCTCTCTCTCTC